TTACCAGCCTGGCAGGTAACACAGGCTAGCAGATAACCTAAGGCAACGCCAGTAGTATCGAGAGCACAGCAAAGGTGGAGTCCTCACTCTATGGTCATCGGGTCAGCGCCAGCCCCGCAACTTCTGGGGAACCGGACCTGAGGACCAGCCCGAGGCCTTGGGGTCGGATTTCTCTCCCCTTTTATAGCCAGCTGTCCTCCACTTCACAGCAGAAAGGCACACTGGTCCCCATCTAAATCTTGCTCTGCTGCATTTTGGGGAAAGAGCCCAGGGAGGAAACCTCAACACTGCTGAACTCAGGGCCACTGCCCAGGACTGGGCAAGAAATCCTTCTGTCCGGCAGGTGGCTTCTGACTCCCCATCTTTGCTAAAGTCCAAGGATTTAACCATGTTGCCAGTAGTTCAGACAATGTGTTTCTGAGGCTAGATGGTGGTGAGGAAGTCCGAGAACTAAGAGACATTGCCGGAGTAAGCTTTCTTTCACCCCATCTGCTGGTTATGTGGACACAAAGTTTGTCAGAGCCTGCGGTCATAAAATCAAAAGGCCCAGTTCTGTTTCATGCTTACAAAAAAGTAGTATGCATCCCCAGATTTTTAAACTTAATGGAAAAATAACTGACTCAATCTGTCTTTTTAAGAGACCTATTTGCAAAGGCAATTCTAATGAAAATTTACCTTCTGTGTTTCAAGATTATTGCTCACATGATGAAATGCTATTAATGTATTACTTGAGCACATGTACTACAATAATTACAATTATATCATAATGGTAACAGTATATATATAATTCCTTCTTTATCTGGTAGGGAAAAATGAACATTAGACCTCATGGGTCACAGAACACCTGCTGGAATTAACGAGTTCAAATTTATATATGTAATTTGGTGATCAAAAAAAAAAAAAGTACATCAGCTGCTCCAGGGAATATTCTCAAGCATGAAAACGTATTATTCTAGGTTAAGATGCCATCAGAAGTTGAAAGGGAATATAAATTCCAGGAGAAAAAGAATTGGCTGCAATGCAAAACACCAATGCTGGGTTTGGCAAAGGCCGGCTTTACTTGAAAGGATTTTGGGAGCCTTGCAGGGTGGGGCAGGAGAGTTTTTCTTTTATAGGGAGGAGTAACCGGGTGGGTGAGAAA